GAAGCAATTAAGGTACAGAAATATCATGACGGCTCGCTTACTTTAATTCTGTTCAAAATTCAAACAAAACTCCAACTTATTCTTACATTAACTGCAAATTTTTATGCATATAAACTTCCACATCAAAATGGTTGAATTTAAAACCAAGTGCAGAAAATAAAGCATTTATGCTGGCAGCTGCTTCCTTTAGCTCTATTCAAAGCTCAAACAAAACTTAAACTGTATTATTGAAGCTTCAAATAAGAACAAAACCCTATTCATATAAACTTTCACCTAAAAATGGCCGAATATAGAACCGAATCTGGGGCAGTTTAGAAGAAGAAGAAAATATTCCCACCGGAACAAAAACAATTTTCTCACATAAAAACGTGAGTGGACACATAACAAAACAGAAATGGACTCCTTTGAAGAAGAAAAAAACATCTTTTGATGACGAAAGAGAAACAGAGAATATCCACAGAGAATCTCAGTCACAAGTACTAAGTCCTTTTCCTTTTTCAGACAAATGCCCTGTTGAAGAGAATCGTGACATTCGCAAAACATTTGGCGACACTTAGGCGTCTAACGGCGTTCATTCAGAGAACCTGAATCGCCGTTTTGTTCTGTGCCACACACGTATTTCTTCCATTGCGTGTTTTATCATCATCCGGGGGTTTTTTTTCATCTTCCCTTTCTTCCCAAAGTAGTTGGTAAATGTTAGAAATCTAAGAAAAGTGCTACTAAAGGTAATGCTAGTATATAAGATGGCATATTTGGTTTGTTTTTTTATTTTGTCAATTGTTTCCCGTCTTGCTAACATGACTTGGGCGTATAATAGTTTAGATGATTTTCTACTGAGTAGGTCTTTCGTGCAAGAGGAATTGAAACTAACTGGTCGTTGAAGAGTTTGGTGTGTTAAGAAAGAAAAAAAAATTGCTATTTGTTGGTAAAAGTAAATCAGAGTTTCGTAAACTATGAGAATCATTTTGTTAGAAATATTTGGAAAAGGGAAAACTTAAAAATGTTTAGATATTTTATCCGAGTTTTTAACGTAGATGCTTTTAAAAAGAAAACTTTAATTTTTGGGGAGAACTGTACAGAGCAACTTGTAATTTATTTCGTTCGTAATATCTTCAAAATGTTCGAGTAGGGGAGCGATCCTTATTATTAAATACTCTTCTTAAAATTATGATTAGAAAATAATAATTATTATGATGGTCATTATTATTACATCTAATATACGTATTACCGATCGTAAATTTTTTTTAGCAAAGTATATACTAAATTGGAACGTAGTTTTTATGTCTTAAACTGTATGGTTTTCAGTAAACCAATCACTGTAAATTTTGAAAATCTAAAATAGGTCACTTCATTTTAGTCATACATATGATGACCACAGTTCTTAAGGTTCTTCTTAACTAAAATTTTGATTCAAACTTTTATCCTCAAAAAATTGTTAAAGGTGTTTATTATCTGTGTTCTTAGTAAATAATAGGAAGAAAAATAGTTTTTAACTCTTTTTTTAACTCTTAAACTGCATTCTTTTTAAACAACCACATTTTTTAAAATTCTAGACCTGATGCAAATTGCTTCATTTTAGTCGTGCATATGATGACCACAATTTTATTGATTGTTCTTGAATGAAGCTCTGATTTAGTAAATAATTGGGAAAAAAATAGTCTTTATCTCTGAAACTCACCTTTTTTTGAAAGTTCTAAGCATGAAATCCATTGCTTCATTTGAACCGAGCGAGCATATGAGGACCACAACTATTATCGCTTTTCTCGACTAAAATTTTGTTTCAAATTTTGCTGTCTTTCAAAATTTTAAAGGCGTTAATTAACAGGATTGTTAGTAAATAATTGAAGAATAAATATTTCTGAAACTCACCTTTTTTTCAAAATTCTGAACATAAAACAGATTGTTCATTTTAGCCGAGGATATGAGGACCACAACTAATATGGCTTTTCTCGACTAAAATTCTGATTCAAATTTTTCTGCCTTTCAAAATGCTAAAGGCGTTTGTTATCAGAGTTCTTAGTAAATAATTGAAGAAAAAACATTTGTTTTTGTTTCTTAAACTACATAGTTTTTTAATCAACCCACTTTTTTTTGAATAAAAAAGAGTCTAAGCATAAAACAGATTGCTTCTTTGCAGCCGTGCATATGATCAGAACAATTATTATGGATCTTCATGACTAAAATTATGATTCAATTTTTTCTGCTTTACAAAATGTTAAAGGCGTTTATTATCAGGATTCATGAAAAATAATAGTTTATCGTCATTTTAATACAATTTATTATCCGCTATGTTGCTAAAAGTGTATTACATATTAAGATTAAGATTTAATGGTGATAAAGACATCATTAAAACTTTAATGCGAAATTGTATTCATTTGAACGCGGAATATTTGCCAAACATTCATTTCAAAGATTATATTCAGTTTAAAAAAATTCTCTCTATCTCTATATGAGATAAGATAATTTCCAAATTCCATTTCACTTTTCTGAAACCGTAAACATTAGTGACAATTCGAAACAATCGAGCCGATATATTACACTTTAATCGAATCTAGCCTATAGAAGGAGTTCCTTTTCGTCTCATTTTCCATTTTACCCATCATGCAAATGGTAATGACGTCATTTGACGAAAGATACATCGTAAATTTGCAAAAGATTCTGGAAAAGGAATGGTAATGGAAGAATGAAATGTAATTGGGAGAGGCATTGTATCACCAAAGCAAATACTTCCAAAAAGAAGAATTAAATGAACCGGAATCCTTCTCGGAAGATCGAAAACAGAAATTGGAGATGGATTCTCAAACGATTTTCTTTGTGCTTCTTTTAAAAGGCGAAGACATTCTATTATTCTAAAAGGCATTCTGTTTATAGGATTAAATTTGTTTTTAAATCATTTTAACGCATTTATTCTCCATAGATACAAAATAGTATGGGAGATAGGCTGGCTTTTCAAAAAATTTAATCAAAAGAAACTCGATGCAGTTATCATAAACTTTAGAGAGCACAAAGAAAATTCAGAAAGTTTTCGAAACAAATGCATTGTTGACAAAGATTGACATATAATAGTGTCTGTTTTTCTTGACGTTTCCAACAAAGTAACAATTTAGAAGCTATCAATAAGAAGAAGGATTCCAGATGACGGTCTTTAAAATTAACTTACACAATATGTGGTTATAAATGTGTGAACGTTCAAAGTTTAAATATGTATTTAAAAAAAGAGAAAACTGAAATATTATTTCCGAAAATTGCCCACTTAAGAGTGAAAAAAAGACCGGTTTTGCGTCGTGAAAAATAGTTAAATAAACTAGCTGGACTTTTATGGTACTTCTTGATTAAAAACTTCATATACTTCAAAAATATATAAACAAGAAATAGCAAACGACGAGTATCAAGCTGTGAAAAACAGGCACCCAATTTCAAGACTTGCCAGATAAGAACGAATGCACAGATGCATTTCCAGATGCTGGGGAGAGATGGTGAGGAACTATTGTCGCTAACAGGGAAATCAGCATTCATGTGAATAAAATAAGATTTCGGGGGCTTATACCAAAGATTCCAACAATGTGCAGCAATTGATAATAATTTCTCGTTTGATTGTTGATCTGTTGTTTCTTCTCATTCAAGTCTGGCAAGTCTTGAAAACTGGCTTCTGCTTTTGAGAGCTTGAAGCATATCGACTGTTATTTCCTACTTATGTATTTTTAAAGCGAATGAAGTTTTTAATTAGTTAACGTATTTACCGATTTGCTTACGACTGGTGCCAGTGAAACAACATGACTGCCTTCACTATGCTAAGCTCTGTAAGCAAGGAGATAACGCTTTTTTCGAAGGTTTTGCCATAATAAGAATTACCACATTCTAATAAACAATAAACTATTCGTTGTTTTTTTTAACTCGTATGAGTTTAGAACATGGCATCAGAATAAGTTTCCCTCATGTATAGACGGTGCCCTTTAAGTAAATTATGGAAATAGTGAAAATTGTCAATATGAATGTCAATATGAAAACTTTGTATCGAGATTAAGGCTGTTTTTCGAGAGCGAATAAAATACATCTGGACTTATAAATCAAAATCTTTATTTTCCACAAGATAATACGTAAAGTTTCAAATTGAAACTTTGTATCGAGATTAAGGCTGTTTTTCGAGAGCGCTGCTGTCGCATGATGTGAGGCTTTTTAGCGAATAATATGTAATTTTCACTACTAATGTTATTTTGCAACAGTTATTCTTGACTGTTAGGTCAGATTTAGCCTATGTTTAGCTAGGGCTCTCTATGACAATTCTGAAAATGGCGCAAACGTCAATATGAAGAATAGCCACTGTTTCGTGGAATGGAAGAACTTCTGTTTTCGAATTTTTTAATATTTAAAAATTTACTCCAGTTATCTGGGCTTGTAAATATTCACAAAAAATGAGAATAAGTTATTAATTTGAAAGATTTTAATTTCGAAAAAGGCAGCCAAATTTGCGTGTTTTTAAAAGCGCTTAATATATTTTCAACTATTTCAGTTATTTGTCCATTCTAAAGCAGAGATAATTCTTCACAGCATGATGGCATATATTATTTAAAATTATAGCTTCGCTTCAAGTGTGATGCATTTAAGCTGTTGTTTCTTTTTAATTATTTTTCTAAGCAAAAAAGCTTCGAAAACCATGTTAAAGCACCTAAACGGTTGACTTTCTATTCTCTTATTTCTATTGATTAGTTTTGAAGAACATCTTTAAGCTCAATTAATCTTACTTAGATTATTTTAATTCCTTTTTTTGCTCTCCTTTTAACCGATATCGTGATTAGACAGAGGTTGAATTTTTTTTTTAGTCCTTAAATGATAATTTGTGACAACTGAATGTGCATAGTTTTTTGACATGAGTTCTCAGAAGAATTAGAAAACATGCATTAAAGGTGGTCAATATGGAACACTCGATAAATTAATATTTAAAATATATAAATGCTTATTTAATTCAAGCAAAATGCATTCTTATAATTTATTTATTTCAGGCGACGCCGTCCAAGCGGAACTGTTTTCAGACTTGACGTTTCGCTCTATCTGTGCAGTATTGATTCCATGGCTCCAAGATGACGACACGTTACTCACACAAAACTTTTTGCACTCAAAAGGATTTCAAGAATATTGTTGTAAAGTAGCTTTCAATCATTTTACGAACATGGCATACCAATTTAAGTTTTTTTTAAGGAAAAAAAACATTTTCTAACGAATAGACTGATTAATATTTTGTATCAATAACAGTTCTTCAAGTTTTGTTACAAAAAAAGCAATGTTGTGGTATGCTTTTACTTATACTGTTTAATAATAATTTATAACTATTTTCATCCGAAAATGGTAATTTTGCAACAATTGCAGTTTTAATTACTACGTCTGTAAAGAGAAATGGAATTTAGTGTTGAAAGTGTTTGGGTTGATGTTTGTATGTAATGATGATAAATTACTCTCATTTTCAGTAAAAGCAATGCGTCATAAGCAATATTATACAATCAAACTTTTCGAGAAATTACTTCAGTGATACAACAAATTAGTTTATTCTATTGTTAGTAAATACCAATGAGATTAATCTAATGAAAATTAATGCATGCAAATAATTTAAAAAAATAATATTTGAACATACATAAAAAAGACTTTAATTATTTTGCAGGTTGTGCTAATATAGAATCATTCATAAACTATTTTAAAAATATTTATATGCTAATAGCAAAAATAGACTGCATGAAGGGAATGTGAAAATATGGTGATTCAAAACCTTTTTTTAAAAAAACTGGGCATTTTTGACAGACATTTAACAAGTTTCATGAATTTTCACTAAATAGCAGCAGAATGCATAAAAGCTATTTTTCCTTAATTAATAATATAAACGCTTTGTTAATACGTATAAGAATCTTATTGGCTAATTTGTACTAGTATACTCTGCTAAATAATTTCAAAGTATATTATTATTATATTGCCCTAAGTAGAGGTATTAACGACCAAATTCTATGAAATTAATATGCTATTATTTTAATCTTTTAATATTACTCACAACTTTAAGACATTTTTTGTTATGTTTAAGAATGTAATTAACTAAATATAAGGGAATAATTTGGTGGTACTTTATGAGTTTAGCAAGGGATGTTAGCGCTATTTTATGAGTTTATCAATAGGAATAGATAATAATACTCCATTAATTTGAAATAAAAATCAATTCAAATTCACATTGAGAAAAAAGCACGATCAAAACTACCGAAATGAGATAGAATTTACCAGATTTTTAGTTCTATGAGAATACTGAAACGCTCGGTAATTTTTAACAAAGCACTTTAGTAAATATTAACTATGAAATATGGTATTATAAAATGTGATACGATTCGATAAATAAGGTAAAACTTGGTAATTTTGCCATCTTTTAGAGCATGGCATAAAAACCATTTATTCGGTTAAATTTACTTTTCAGATTTATATTTCTTACTAAACGTGTGGTAATACGAACTATAATTTTGAAAACCAGGATTTCCAGATAGCCCAATACCATTTAAATGGAAAAATTACGAAATGAATAGTTTAAATGCCTATAATCATTCACATTTTATTTATTACATTTTGGTTTTATCAATCAAAATTACGATTATTTTTACCAGAAATGCCATTACCCCACAATATGGTAATTTTATCAAAAAATTATTTCTCCGTGCAAAATTAAAGTTATAAAAAGGGAAAATATGAATTTTTTAATGAAGTAAATTGCTGGAATTTCATGAGTTTTATTTAGGAGAAAATATTAATTACGGTATCTCAATGGGCACGTTTATTTTTTAATCTCAATTTTAATAAACATATAAAAATAAACATCAAATGTAGTTTCATAATAACACTCTGCATAACTATAGCGATTACACTTTGAAAATATGTCCCATCTTAGTCAATTTAAGTAAATGTGCTATCTAATTATGAGAATTTAAATCCAGCGTTATTTTTAATCATGCCATACTGTATTACGAATATAATGTAAAATTAATTACCAATATTTTTATTGCAAAAATAATTTTATTTCTTGCAAAACCTCTTAATGTAACAAAAAGGATCAATATGCATTTCGACTGGAAGACACGGGCATTTCGTATTTTTTCTCAGCCCGTATCTCAATTTAAAATTTTGCTTTAGTCTTTCTAAAATTTGGTTTTTAAACTAAATCAAAAGTACAAAGATGCAAATAAAATCTTAGATCCTTAAAAAAGATCTCAGATATAAAAAACAAGTTCAAGTCGCTTTATATTCATTCTTATGAAAATGCAAATATCTGTTTTTAGCGTTATGAAGTGTAAAATAAATTTCTACTAAATATTAGCAACAATTAAAATTTTATTTTTCAAAAGATTAAAGCTTTTTAACTGAATGTATGCTACATAATAAATCACTGTACAAATATAAAGCTTATCGCTTAACGAAACTTATTTTGAAAGAAGAAATAGGAATAACGAAAAGGTATCTAAAAAAGGCATCTGAATTCGAAATGTTACCAATTATCTTTACAGTCTGTATCAGAAATTGCTTAATTTTTATAAATAATGGATTCACTAATTGCATATTTATTTTTAAATTATTTCATCTTTAAAAAAGTTCAAACATAATCTTCAAAACAAGCTTTTTAATGCAACTGAAACTAAACATTAATTTGCAAGTTTTTTTATGACACCAGGTAATTTTGTCATGAAAAAACTTGAAATGACCATGAAAATAACCGATGACTCCAAATATCAATTTAGAAAAATTAGAAACAAATGGCGCTGATCTCTAAAAAAACTGTAATATAATTTTTTTTCTGCTGCTTAACAGGACTTCATGACTGAAATATTTGCGCAACGTCTGCTTGTTTTGTTATCAAATTGCATCACGCTATTACTCTACCTTTTTTTTAATATTGTTTTATCATTCGTCTTAGTCAGCAGCTTCGCATGTTAACAATTTTCGTAACTAATTTTGAAATTGCTACCTGTGAACATTTTTTCATTTTTGCATTAATAGGACATCCTAACTGAAATATTTGAGCAGTTTCTGTTAATTTCGCTCTCAGATGGCATCACGTTAGTTTTTTTTAAAATAATATTTCATTATTATCCTCAGTCAGAAGCCGTCTGTTGACAAAATTTGTAACAAATTATAAAACTGTTGCTTTGAACCATTTTTCAGTTGCTTAATAAAAATCCTAACTGAAATATTTGCACAGCTTCTATTATTTTCGACCTCAGACTGCATCGCGTTGCTATTATACTTTTTTTAAATACTTTTTTATTATTATTCTCAATTAGCAGCTCCATCTGAGAACTCTATAACTAAATTTGAAACTGTGGCTTTTGGACTTTTTTTCTGCTTTTTAAAAGAACATCCTGATTAAAAAAATTGCATAGCTCCTCTTAATTTCATTCTCAGACTGCATCACGGTTTTACTCTAGTTTTATTTTTACTATTTTTTTATTCTAATTTTTAATTAACAGCGCCGTCTGATGAAAAAATTTGCAACTAATTATTAAACTAGGTGAAAAAATCTAGTTTTCTAAACAAAATGTAGAAAACTATGCATTTCAATCAATTTCCATTTTCATTACGATATAGATTTTTTCCAAATCATCGTTCATTTTGAAAAACGGATCCTTTAAGCATGTTTCTTAATTAATATATTTTTATTTTATTTTTACAACTAAAATAAAACAGTACTTTCTAAAATGATAAACAAAAACCAATAATTTAATGAACAGATTTATCAATTAAGATTACTAAAGTAGTGTATCGTAATATTGAACACAAAAAAAGTTATAGAGTGGCACATAAATTTTGTACAGAATTATTGCATCTAGATGGGATAATTAATTGAGCTTTACATTAAATCACATTTTCAAACACTATGCACTGTTGTCGAGATTATAAAAAAATCCTCGACCGAAGATACTTTTTCTAAAAAAATAAAAGATGTCATAGAATAGATATTTTTAGAGAAAAAAAATTAAGAATGACTTGTACAGAAGTTTCGCGACCAAACTGTCAGAAAAGTATTTTGAATTTCATGAATTCGAATGTGTCTTTTACTGTTTCAAAGATGTGTATTTAAAAACGCAGTGTATTCTACAAAATGAAATAAAATTTTTAAATGAAGAGAAATATTTTTGAATGTCATGAAATGCTACATATTCAAAATATTTGATAATTATATTGAAAAATACAGCTGGACTTGAAGGAAACGTTATGGAAAACGTATGATTCAAATCTGTAAAAAAAATCTAAGCTGTCAAAAAAGAATGTTAATGTGTTTTGAATTGTTGGCACTGTCAAAGGCTGTCACGTGATTATTTATGTGTAAACTTCTATGTTTGTGATAGATTGTGTAATTTTGACAATGTTGTTTAAAACTGAAGAAAAATATTGTAGCGTTGCCCACCTGAATAACTTGAATTGCAAATAAAAATATTTATTGGTAGAAGTTTCATTTTCTAATGTTGTTCTATTTTTCCTTATGATACTGGTTGTATTATAATAACCTCGCTTTATATATAATTTTAGAATCCATGTCCTAAATTATCATTAAAAAAAGTATTTCATATTAGAATATCCATCCAGAATATTAGAATATGAATATCAAAATATCCATTCAGAATATTAGAATATCCATTAAAATATACATATTAGAATATCCATCCAGAATATTAGAATAACCATTAGAATATGCATATTAGAATATCACATAATAATATTTAAACGTAGTTAATAAAAACTTAATCGAAATCTAATAAATCAACACACCATGAAAAATACTAACTGTTTAGCGGTAATTTGGCTGTGTATTCAACAGTTTAATGTTGTTAGGTTAACAAGGCGGTTTTTCTCTATTTTTCAACCTATTCACAAGCGGGTCAAAACCGTCTGCTGAAATTCCAGTTTTTTCCACGTGGTTATGCGTTACGTAACATAGTTTTACCTTTTCTCCAATTATTTTACTATCATTTTTTATATGTGGCTGCCAGGTGGCTGAGCGGTTAGCGTGCCTGACTGTGAAGCCAATGGCTGAGGGTTTGAATCGCTCTCAGGACACGCATGCTCCTCTCTGTGTGCTGTCTTCTATATTTACATCTAATGTGAACCACCCTATAAGCGGGTATCTTAGGCAGTGTGGCGTGGTAATGTTACTCGCCTCCGTCACTTTGTTTAGTGCCCACCAGGTAATGCTAAATGAGCAACACCTCCGGCATCTTCCCGGGCAAAGAGCGATAAGTTCGGTGTCTGCCATTAAAGAAAAAAAATTCTTTGCGTGGTCTTACTTTTTATACTTTTGACTATCGTATAAATAAAACAACGATTCTACTTTATTGCTGAATGGAAAGAATATTAAAGCGAAATTTTCGATTCATAATATTACTTTTGAGCTATAGTGGCTCAGGGAGCAGGGCGCACGCCTTTCAATAAAATGACCCATGTTCAAACCCCAACGATGATTGATCGATACAAATTCTGCCGATATGAAATACTCACATCAGGCATGAGTACAGTTAATTACATACCTTTCACAGTGGAAACTTGTTCCCACCTAGTTAAAATCTGTTGGGACAATTTTTGTTGTAAAAACTTGTCTTCTTACTATTTTTTAAAAAAAAGAACAGTCTAACTACGGATTTTCTTCATAGTTCTTACGGGAAAAAATTTTTTCTCGTATTATAAAAAACTATTGATACTACGGATATACTTCGTGCATTTTATGGTTTTGCATAACCATTGCAGAAAAGATGCAGCTTTAAAACCATGAAATTTACTGTAACATTTTTACAGTGCAATAAAAAAAGAGACCAAAAAAAGAAAGGAAGCAAACTGAAAATTAAAACAATGATTTGATTTCCAGAAGATGGAGAGAAGTTGTACAGCGGAAAAAATAAAATCCTCCAAGTTTTATTAGACAGTCCAAATGGTCTGTTTATTTCATCCCGCCAACCTCATTAGTGATTCGCGAGATTTCGAAAGTGGTTTAGTTTTTCTCTTGTTTAAGTATAAGGTTGAGAATCCTCCCGTTTATACTTTTTAACTTTTTGTTTAATAAGAGTTTTAAAGTATGCTAGGAGACTCCACTCACCCATCCTCGCAATTGCTTATCTCATTCATCATGGTTTTTCTTCCCCCTTAAATGTCAATATATTCCACAAAAACTCGGAATATTGTTTTCGAAATACAATTATTGTAGCTTTAGGTGAAAAAATTTTGTTGACATGTTAATCATAACAAAATGGGTGATTACCCGGTTTTGAAAAATAATCATCTGGACTTGAAAAAAGGTTTAACCTGAAGAACACAGAATTTTTGAAGCAGTAAGAAGTAAATGAACAGTAATCTTACTTGATGTCAAAGCTTATAATATTTCAAATGGGTACTGGTTCTTATCGGTCCTTATTAGGGTTTTCTTTTTTCATTTCTAAAAATTCCACGATAATTTTTATGTTTTATATCTGGTTACGCGTAATCTCACTCTCTTGCTCTGACACACACTCTTATTTTTGCTACTAATGATTGACATCTTCTCACACGCTATAAAGTAAAAAAAAAATAAAGATCTCGTGAAGGAAAACTG